ATACCAATGTTTAGCAGAGGACCCTGGGTTCTGCAGCGCGAGCTTTCACTCCACGTTCTCCGAGTTGGTGTGCGCTAGATCGATCACTCGGCCATCAATCCCCCCTCGTGAAAAGGGCCACAAATGCAAGTCCCTCACTTTTTATCGTGTGAACAGAAATTCGCGTAGCGCGAGTGTAAAAAACAGATCCCTAAATTATATTTAATAATATCGCTTTATGTGAGATCGCTACTGCAGTTTCATAATTTGTAGCAGTAACTTTATTCTTTTTGTTTAGACAAAGCGTACACCTCAACGCTTAGAAAAAATGTGTGTAGATACAGTGAGAAAACGGAGACTACACTAAAAGGCAAATCTATGTTAGAGATGAGGCATCATAACCGACCGGCGTCACGCGCAAGCATGTTTTATTCTTCCTCCTTTGCGCCACAAGTCTCAGGTGTTGGACGACATGATCGAGAAAAAACAAATCCCGGCAACGTCCGAAAATGGGAAATGAAAAAAGAGCAGCACCAACCTGTAGTGGTCCTTGAAGCGTGATCTGGATCCAACGTCAACAGCGGCGTACGCTTGGCGCTGCTGCGCGGGGCTGTAGCGTCCACGGCAAGCAACACAACGCACATCTGTGCTAAAGGCACACCTGATCTCTCCTACAACACTTGCACCTTCTAACAACGCTATAAGCTCCGCGACTGGGATGGTCACGCCATCTGCTACCGCCTCGCGCGTCGGAGCGCGCTTGCTCGGAGCCACGTGGGCTCCGAGATCGCGCAGCCGCTCTTTTGTGAAGCTATAGGTACGTTTATACACCAACTCATGTTTACAAACAAACCGGAGCGCCCGTAGCGCCCCTAGCGGACGCCACCGGCGCCGCGCATGCGCGATGGGGGTGTGGGCAAAAAGCTCGCCGTCGCCCATAAACAAACCATTGAAATACGATGTTGTCGGCGCCGGTGTGAGTCCCCGCGCTCTTTTTCGCGTTGGAATTGTTGATTCTACGTCCTCTTAACAATGTCTGACTACCTGTCCAGCGTCAGCGAAATTAACGAGGCTCGTTACACCGCAAAACTTCGCGTGATTAATCTGATATGCGGCGATTCATTCCGCGGGGACGCCGCAGAACGTACGCTAAAGCCTGATTCACATGATGAGATTTCGCTCGCAATTTTCAGTAGCGACGTCGTTCGGACTGCAAAAGCGTGAACCGTAGCTGAGATGGTCGACGCCGATACTGAAAATCGCAAGCAGAATCTAACCAAGTGAATCAGGCACAACAAGTCGGCGATGGCCAGTGGTAACAAGGATCAACATCTTCTTGTATCTGCTGTCGAGCCTGCTTACCAACCTTCAAACTTAAGTATTTTGAGGCCTGCACTTAATTCTTATCGCAAGTACCGGGCCCACGTTTGGTCTACGGGCCGGTGTCCTCTAAAAGAGCAGACGACAAGCAGAAACGTTTGAAAGAGCAGACGACAGTTCGAACGATCAGGCGACCTTTTGAACTTGAAGACGCACTGAACGTAGTTCGCAGGTGGTCCGTACAACTTGACGGTTTTCCGGCGTTCATTTTGGAACAAAACAAATAAATTTGATGGCCAGTAGTATCCGTGAATTTAACCCAATGCTTCCCGCCCAAGCAATCGTGGCCCGACGGCGTCTGGTTTTCCCTTTTCACTGGACATATCCGCGTTCTCGGACGAACCGAGCGCATGAAAACTGACCTTCAAACCTTTCTCGACACTCTTAGTACAGCCCCAGTCGCAGCATTTTGACGAGAAGGCAAATTTTTCCTTTCAAAATAACGCGGGAATACACGTCTCAAATGGGCACTTCCGCCCACAGCCCCGGACCGAAAGTGCGTCCGACGCGCCACCACCGCGCCGTGACGTAACAGAGATGAGTTCGTGTATACTCCAACGTAACGTCGACGGGCGTGGCGTAGCGCAGCGCGCACAGATACTAGGGAGTTTTCGTAGATCGTTCTGGCGTCTCCGCTACGTCTCCGCTACGTTATCCGCTACGCCTCCGCAACTACTGCGCATGCGCCAATCTAGCGCAGACCTTGCGGAGTTGCGGACGGGGTTGCGAAGGCGCCTTACGAAATAGCGGATCTCGAGATACGCTGGCCGTTCTATTGCGTGTCGTTTTATCTATGTTATTTTATTTATAGACGCTTTACACACGCTCCAAATTACGGCCGCCATTGCTGACCTTCTCTTGTCTTACTGAGATGCCGAGCAACTGAAACGGTAGTTGACGATCCTCTACAAAGGCCGATGCTCTAGAAAAGGACATAGTAGAATCTAATACGGCAATAACCTGGCCTGCTATGGTAATGATGAAGTGAAATAAACGAAATAAGAGGAAACAAAACTGAAGGTCAGTTATGGCGGCGTCCATGCACAGCTGCTCCAAAGCGTCTATACATATATACGCGTATAAATAAAGAACACAACGACGACGACGTTGAGAGGATGACAGACTGGGCGACGGCGGTGCCTCAATCTGAGCCCTTGTGCCTCGGAGGCGGCAGCTTCTACTTTGACTGGGCTACCTCTTTGGAGCCTGATGCTTTGACCGCAGTGGACCCCATAATGTTCCGGAGGCTCCTTCATGCACCGACCGAACGGCGTGCCAGATCCCCCAGCTCGCTTCTCACCCGCCCAACCCGCCTCCACGAAATCTGGACTTCTGCGAATCGGACTGCCATCCTCCCCAATACCAACAATCCATGTCGTCGTCATTATGCATGTATATACTCATGACATTGCGATGTTCATTAGACGCGGCACCGCGGGCCTCCATGGTACGAGCTGCTGCCTTTCCGTGGTGCCGCGGCTCTCCAGAGCCAAATAAATAAAGTCTAAAGACTAAAGACTAAATTCTTTGCTTGTGAACAGTCGGTAGCGCCTTAAAAAAAAGAACAACAGTGCTTCCCCGTTTATAGAATACAAATTCCAAAACTACACATCAGTGAAATAACATAACACCGCTTTGGCGGTTCCGAAACATCAAATACACATCCTCTACTTCCCTCCAACTATAATTTGACAATAAAAGTTGGTCCTCAAGAACTCTGAGCCGCTGCATCTTTGGAAATTGGCGGAGAACGCGTCCACGAACACAAAAGAGCGCGAGAGGACAAAGAGAGGATTAGCTTGGCCGAACTGAATCTGGCTTTAAGCGAAGCGCGATTGCCGCAAGCTGGCAAGATGTGTTACGAAGAATTTATCCAGAAAAAAGATTAACATCGTAAATTAACCATCTGCTGTGTTCGAAAGGAGGCACTCTGATAAAACAAATACGTGGTTGCAGTAATAGTATGCGTTTAATGTTTTATATAGTGGTTTTTACGACCGCTAGTGGCGCTGTCATAATCGCGGTACCGTAGTCTGCAGAGAACGGTCTACGAAACCACTTTTTTGAGTCTCCGCTATGCCTCTGTTAGCGGGTCTCGTAGCATGTAGCGGATAGCATTGCCGAAAGGCCAAAACGATCTACGAAAACTCCCTACTGATTGGTTGCAGATACCGAGTTCCTGGGCGCCAGCCAATTAAAGGCGCGCGCTCTGCGCTACGCTGCGTTCACTGCGCTCAACGTCAGAGTATAAACAGCCCTTAACGTCCATCCCAGGCTCTTGGCTCATTCACCGTCTGCCATTGTTGTGCGGTCGAGTCCGTCCGAACGCCTGCCAAGGACGGCGGCCTTGCTGGCCTGAGGTGCATGTTGCTAAAGCTAGACACATCACGTTACTAAAATGAAGTAACTAAACACGAATACTCGTTGCTCACTCAAAATGTAACCAGGTACGTTTCTCGTAACTAAAATTCAAAAGGAGCCTGTTACCTCAGCTTCAACATAACGCGGTATTTTTTTTTTTCGCTACTCGGAATATGTCATTTTTATTAAGTAGTAGCCGCTTTCAATATTTCTCGTCGTTAATAATCGTTTGCTTTTAACTCGTGCATTCTGGGATAACTGTGGCTATACTGACATACCAACTATTCAGATATATTTTATGGTTGATCTACCGTTTTTTTTTTCAATGTGCCAATTACAGCGCAAGCTGGGGTCAAAACTAGGTTCGGTAGGAGTGCGTCACCCGTTCCCTTCAGAAGTATCTAAGCAGTGTTCATCGTTACATCAGCAAAATGTAACAGAAATATATTACTCGTTTCTTCTGTTAAAATGTATGTAGGACGTTACTTACCAGAAACGTAATCAGGTACAAGTATTTTGTTACCTGTAACGGGTTAAGTACGAGTCTGGTTGAAGCGACGTAGAAGCTCGCAGATGCACATGCTCCGCTGAACAGCGAATATTTGCTTGGGTGAAACAGCGAACAAGATCTACACACAAAAGACAAGCACACAAAAAAACACGTACACTGCGCTGACTAACAACCATCGTGCTAACCACTAGAAACTCAGGTTTGTATTTCTTTCCTTTCTCTGATCATCTTCTTCTTTCAGTTAAACGAAACATCGGAAAAACTCTTGCGCGCTATTTCACCCAAACATGAACAACCAACTCGCCCAAGCCTCCGTCCTCTCAAGAATATTTACATTTTCAAAATGCATTTGCACGGGCGTGTTACTCCGGGGTCGGAAGGTTTTGCCAAGTCGCTGGCTTTGACGAGGCCAAGTCTCGTAGCAAAACATCGGCAATCGTTCTTGAGGCTTCAGGTAGGTATTAAATTTGGTCCTAACAGTAACCTTTAGAATCATTACATAAGCTACGCTTTGAGTATCGACACTTCATCCTTCTTGCGGGGGCGGCCATTTTGTTGCCTAATGCAGGGCGAGAGCTATTGATGATAGTTGCGATTCAGAGCGGCGACTTCCTTAGCTGCACTTACGATGTCGGGAAGCTCAGACGATATCGTTTTGCTTTGTCACTTCCTGTTTTAACATCTTTGAAGGACGAAAAAGCGTTTCCAGCGATCTGAGAAAAGAACTTAAGATAACTGGCATCAATTATTTTAAGCAACAAGGTGGATGATGTGTCGTTCGCGTTGTTTAATCAGACGCGACAACAGCCCATGCGCTGCTCGTGCCGACTCGACTCTGACGCTCGTTCGTGCCATTCTACATTATCACGCTCACCGAGCTCACGCTCTGCCGGTGGCATTCCACGAGCAGCAACTCCTTCGGAACGTCGCACAAAACGACCATAAAACCTTCTCCGAAGCATCCTTCCAGGACGTCATCGACCCAAACGTTATGACGTCCACAGAGTACCAGGCCGCCCACCCGCGGCTTTCCAAATCGGAGCCTGACCCAGATCTGGCGGTGTCCGCCGAGTTCCCACCGCAGGTAAAGTCCCATCCGCCTAGCTTCCGCGAGTCCATCGCGCAGCGAAGCCCCAGCGCGCTGATTGCGTACGTCAGACGCGCCAGCATCGCCACCTTCAAGCACGAACCCACCGAGACCGAAACCGACGCGTCCAAACAGGCCAAATACCATTCCCTCGTCCTCGGGATCCTGCTCTCCATCGCTTCCAGTGCCGTCCTTTCACTCGTCAACGTGATCATCAAGCGCCTGCCGGCCGTCAGCACCCTGGAGGTCCTCACCTTCATGGCGTTCGGCATCTTCATCGGCATCCTTCCAGCAGCTACCGACGACACGGAGCCCTTCGGCTCCCGCCGCGCCCAACCTCTGCTCTTTGTGCGCACGGTGCTGTCGCTGTGCGCCGCCATCCTTCGCCTGCTCAGTCTGTCTCGCCTGTCTGTGGCCGACGCGTCCATTGTGGCCAGCCTGACGCCGCTGATGGTGTCCCTGATGGCGTTCATGTTCCTCTCGGAGCCCTTCCACTGGACGCAAGGCGTGGCGGTCACCTGCTCCATCCTGGGTGTCACATTCGTGGTTAAACCGCCATTCCTGTCCGGCGGCACGTCCTTCACCATCGACCAGTACATCGGCATCGCGTACGGGCTCGGTCACACGGTGCTGAACGGCGTGACCACCGTCTGCATCCGCGCTATCAAGGGCGTGTCCAGGAAGGTAGTGGTCTTCCACTACGGCTGCTTGTCCATGCTCCTTATCTCCGTAATATCCGTAGTCACCGGCCAGATGAAGATCTTCTACGAGGGTTCCCAGATCGGCTATTTGCTGCTCATCTCGCACCTGACCTTCGCCACGCAGATGTTCTTGACCAAGGCGCTGCAGGTGGAGAGCGCCTCCGTGGTGGTCATCATCAAGACGGCGTCGGACGTCATCTTCAGCTTCCTCATGCAGGCAACGTTCCTCAGCCTTTGGCCGGACTCCTTCAGTGTCCTCGGCGGAGGTTTCGTGGTTGGAGGCGTCGCTCTCATAGGCTTCAGGAAGGTCGTCGCGGCCGCGCTGCCCGACTCGCCTGTTAGAACGCGCTTTAAATTCCTCCTCTAGCCACATTCACTCTGTTACTTTTGATTTTGGCATATGTTAATGAGCTACATAAAGCGTATTTTGAAATTATGTACCTTTATTTTTCTTACGAAAAGATTATCTGAATAGTAAATAGACTTTCCACTGACCCGCGATGTCGTGTTTTGAGGTCCTGATAAACCTGAAACTGGGAGGTTATAATGCTTGCACGTGGTGAAATTTCTTGAACAAACTGCAAATTCAAGAATAAACTGAAAATCTGGTAAAATTAAAGACCCTCGATGTGTTGGTTATTTTTGCAAGCAGCGTAAAATGCGCAAGTGCTCGAGGCCCGTGTCTTGAGAGGCCCTTGGAAGCAAATGGCGGCGCAGCACCGAAATGAGCGGCACTTTGAAGCGAATGGCGGCGGAGCACCCGCTCGTGGCACGTGTTCCGGGTTTGCACAACACTGGTTGGTGGCACTTGGGAGCGCAAATTTCATCGAGAGAATTTAGGTAGAACGATCTCGGGGCTGCTTGCTACTCTCAACTTTCAGCTTTAGTGGAACTGTGGTGTGAGAATCCCGCACCCTATAGCTCCTCGATGATCGATTTCAGAATGAAGGTGCTTGCTTTCACTTTTCTGACGTGGAAGTATGAAGTAAGTATAGGTCATTATATGGCTCTGATTTCACAAAACTAGTATAGACCTCTTGCAAAATCGAAACGATACTTGCATCGTAGCGCCGTGCAAAGCATGGTTACCCACGGCCTCCGAACATTTTCGCGCGCTGGCTGTGCTCCTCAGGCCCATTGCATTCCCGCGGCATATACTGTTACTGTATACTGTTACTGCGGGCGCTTGGTGGCGCTCGCAACCACACCCAACTAAAGCCCCTCGATGTGTTTGCGCTCGTCTTGCAAGTAGCGTCAAATGCGCGAGTGCACGAGGCCGATGTCCCCAGCGGCCCTTGGAAGCAAATGGCGGCGCAGCACTGAAATGAACGGGCCTTGGAAGCGAATGGCGGCGGAGCACCCGCTCATCGCACGTGTCTCGAGCGCTTCCACAACAATGGTTGGCGGTACTTGTAAAAAACGCTTTTATCAAGGGGCTTTACACCCAACTAAACCAACAACACAAAGAAGTGGCCGCGAATCATCATCATCACTATTACCGTCGATCTATGGAACTTCGGAGCCGTGCGAAGTGTGCTCCCCGCCTCTCGCCGAGTGGCCTAGCGCATGCCAGCTCGGAGCACCAGGAGCGGAAGCTCGCGTTGCAGAATCCAGGGATCCTGGGTTCAGTCCCCACCCCTGCCAATGTCCCTGCCCATTTCTATCTGGATGAGCATCGTACCGGTGTGCGCTCGTGTATCACTACTGCATGGTGTACGCTAAGGATTCCAGCCAAGCAGTTGTACTGCACTGGCTAAATTGCTCATCTACTGCGAGTGACTCGTCGCAACTTTGAAATGATTGACCAAATACACGCTGTATAAATATTTCACCGCAACACCCAGACCTTTGGCGAGGAAGAAGTTCATCTAAATTTGAAGGTTCATCTTTTCGAAGCGTGAACGAGGTATAAACAAAGGCCCACGATGTTATTTTTACACAAACTTCGCGTTTAATCATGCCAGTAAAAAGCAGGAAGTTGAGGCAATCCAAATAAAAAAGCGTGTCAAAATATAGAGTCGCAATAAATAGCGACAGTGATTTATATCGACTCAGGAGAATCGCGGCCTCGCAGAAGGGCAAGACGCCAATTCCGTAAAGACTCACGGCGCTGCGTTCATCGATGATGAGATGGTACTTCACAGATAATTTTTTTTTAAACAAATGGTGATGATGGTTTGGATGGAGCTTGTGGACCAGGGTGAGTCGTTTATGTTGCGGTTGAAGAGGGTGAAAAGCGTTAAGCTCGCACCTGTCTTCGCGACGGTGGTCTTCGTGGGGCCGCCATGGGCCGCTGACTCTAGCAGGTCGGTCTTGAGCGCCTGGCGAGGGCTCCCTGCGTGCACGGCTTGCAGACGAGCCGCCCAAATTTCTGCAGACGCAGGGAGTCCAGCATCCCCGTGGTGGGTCTCCAGGCGTTGCCGCCACTGTTGGCCGGGCGGCAGTCTTACGGAAAGCTGGCTCTGAAATATCTCTCTCCCAGCTTGAGGTCGAGCTTGTAACCGAACTGTGTGACCACCCTCTCGATCAAAGACATGGTGTGTGCCACTTGTCCGGCCGGCTCTTTGACGATGGGTAGTTAGTATAAAACGTTTATCTGAACCGCTTTAAGGGAAGGGGGAGGCGCATCGTGGCCTGGACCATAGCCTTTTCTATCCTGGCAGAGTGCCCGGTCGCAGATTTGCAGCGCGAGGATCTGGTAGCACAAAGTATTTCTCGAGGAGCCTGTAGTCAACGCACAGCTTTTGCGGCGGCGAGGATTCGAAACATGGTTTTCAAACCCGTCGAGAAAAAAAGCGGTAGCCCGAGGAACGCGAGAAGCACGAGCGGTCATTCCATCGCTCGGGACAAGTGTGTTTCGGCGTCTCACCGCAGCGGGACGCCCGTTACATAACTTTTGTCTGCCGCTCTACATTTTCACATTCGGCGGCCGCGCCTCGGGGAAGGGAATTATATGTGCACTTCTATGCCAGCTTCGTGGATATAGTCCAGAAGCGTGCGTAGTGCTTGGTGTTCGCAACTTTCAGTGATGGTGGTACCGCGCTGTGAGAATCGCGCACCCTAGCTCCTGGATGATTGGCCTCATAATAAATGGACTTGCCTACACCTTCCTGGCGTGAAAAAATAACGTATATAGCAAAACTAGAATTACTTAAGCGTCGCAGACCCATCCTCGTACCGCTGTTCTACGTCGATCATCCAGGTGGCAGCCATTTTTATAGGCACCGCTGCGCCCCCATAGGTCGTGAAAGTTGCGAATTGCTTATCTGGAGGGCCTGGGGGAAAGACCCAATCCTCCATGAATGTTGATGACAGAAAAAATGGCTGCGCTGTCGTAATGGCGTGTGCGTTGGCTCGAGCGGCGGGAATTTAAGACGCCGTGTCGAACGGATGTGTTATATTCTCCGACGTTTTTCAGCATGGAGAAGAGACTGCCACGCAAGCAGGTAGGCACGACCCCCGACGAGGAGATGGATATCGCTTCGCCTATGACCGCATGCCGCAGTCATAAGCGAAGCTCTATCACTGGGAATCTCCGGGAGACCCTTAAACTTCATTCGAAGCTTTTTCGAGGGTCGCACGCACTCGGTTCGCTGCGGACACGAACAAGGTGGGAGGAGGACGAACAGAATTAGTGTCCCACGGGGCTCTGTGATTTCACCAATGTTATTTAACATAGTGATGGCAGCCTTACCGCACCAACTTGAACAGATTGAAGGACTGGGTCTAATGGTTTATGCCGATGACGTGACCATTTGGACGCAGACCGGAGATCTGTACCATCAAAAAGAAACGCTACAAGCAGGCTTGGACGTCATCGAGAATCACCTGCGGAAGGTGGGACTCAGTGCGGCACCGGAGAAGACCAAGTATGTGGTCCTAGTCCCTTTTAAAGAAAGGACAAAAAAGATTGGAGAGAAGATGACCCTGGTGCTGGCTGGGAAAAGGATTCTCCCGTCTCGAGAGGTCAAAGTGCTTGGTCGGGCCTTCGAGGAGACTGGTACAGGGGACATCTGGCTTCGACAAACAAGCAGGCATTGCCACTCGACGCTGGGAGTCATCAGCAGACTATGCAGCGTTAGAGGTGGAGCAACTCTAGAGGTGGCCAAGAACATGGTCAAGGCACTCGTGACATCGCGGGTTTGCTATGGCGCGAGACACTACAATCTAACCAAAGTTCAGTGGGAAAGACTCGAGACACTCAATAGGCATGCGATGAGAGTGCTTACGGGTCTATCTTTTTTTCTAAAAAGATAGAATTAGAGAAATGGGCGCAGCTCAACATCTTACAGGACACGGTCCAGGCCAGGGTCGTGGCGCACGAAGACTTCAACACACAAGGCAAGGAAGACAGATCCTGGGGCTGCTAGGCAACAACCTAGAAGACTTACCAAATCTGCCGGAATGGCTTCCGCCATGGGAAGACATGGCAGACTTCACCGAAAGGAGGCCTCTTAGAGACAAGAAAGGGGACGAAAAAAGGAACGAGCGGATCGCCAAGGCACACCGGAAGATGGTGGAGCACTGGACCGACCCGAGCGATATCCTGGCAGTATACACAGACCACGCAAGAGATGACACACCGACGCCCGCTGGGGCAGCGGCGTTTCTCGCCCCCGCTGCGGGAGTCACGGAATGCTGCCAACTACCCGCAAGAACCACGATCAAGGGAGGAGAGCTCGAAGCCATCCTCCTGGCTTTGAACTTCTTCGCGCATCAACGGCAAGACCTACGCCCAAGGGAACTCAGGCTCTTCACAGACTCCAAGGAGGCAGTGCGAGAGTGTAAGAAAGCCTCCAGCGCAAGCAGGAAGGTCAAGGAAATTAAGAAAATGGCAGCCGAACTACGTCAACTTGGCACCACCATCAAGATAGGTTGGATCCCGGGCCATGCAGGGATCCCTGGCATTGAAAAGGTGCTTCAACTCGCTCGCGCAGTGCTCGTTTCTTTCCGCGAGCGAGGGGGAGCACCCACACCCTCACAACCATACGACCACGGATACGCCACACCCGGTAATGGGAAGACGTTTTGTGATGGCGAAGAATATGATCCTGACGAGGAGAGGATCCTAATCAAGGAGAGAGGTACAGAACAAGATTGTGTGAAGGCCTGCCCCAGACGCCCGACCTTCTACCATGAGGGATCGGAAGAAGGAACCGGGTCCTCCTCACCCGCATCATGGCAGGCGCCACCCGCTCTACCGCATGCATGGCCGCATGGAGCAAAGGAAGACGGTCCAGCACGTGCAACAAATGCACGAACAAGATAAAAGGAGGCATGACTCATCTCTTATGGGAATTCCCCTACTATCAACAAATTCGGACCAAGTTCAAACCCATATATGCCCAGAACCTGGATGACTGGGTC